GTCAGAGTTTCTCCTATTATATTTATCTTACAATTTGCCAGGGGGTGAAGTTATTAAGTTTTAGCAGCAGCCATCGATCAAGTTCACAAGTTAACACGATAAAGGCTCTGTGCCGCTCCGATCCGGGAAAATGATGATCCTCACTCGGTAATTAACTAAATGAGAAAGTTAAATCTTACTTGAGAGCTGGGAGAGATGAAAGAGAGGTGTTTGTCAGTTTCTCAGTGGAAATTAGAAGCAGTTTTCTGCAATTCCCTAAGCTGCTGCTCTGTCATATTTTACATAAGCACTGGGAAAACGTCTTGTAATTAGTGCTGTCATGGAGGATTTTTTTTGCTGAAGGATGTTGGAATAATTCATTAGATTATCAAGAAAGGCTTGTGTCCTGAAATGATTAGCACAGTGAAATTTAAACCATTAACGATAACAAGTTTAGAGCTTGCTGCAGTGCAGAGGCACCCGGGGTATGTCTGTGCCTATTTCAATCATTTCTTATAATTAAACATTATGTCCTCTTTTTTCCTCCTCTTCACTAAGACCCATCCAAAATTCCTGTTAAGGTGGCTCTGTCTAGATCAGTGACTTAACCACGACTGGCGGTGCAAGCAGTTGGAGGTGAAATGCTGTGGTTGCGGATAAGCAGTAGAAGACATCTCTCTGCATCAGAGCCTGTAGTCCCAGGAGTCCGGGAAGGAAGGGAGAAGCCCAGTATGACTGTCGGTACTGGAACGTCAAAAGGAAGTCCCTTCCTTTTGTCTAGAGAGAAACTCCGAGAAACGTGCAGTGGTGGTCTAAGCTCTCAGTCTTTTCAGAGCTCCAGCATGAAGATGTCTTGAAGGTTCAGAAGGTCCCAAACCTTGCTGGGATCATTTAAGCCATTCTCGATGTTCTAGGAGACAGCTTCGCTTTAAGAGATGTCTTCTTACATTAACAAACATATAATCTGAATTCATCCACCCTGTGGAAAGTGCCTTAACAAAGTCCTCTGCAATGATGAGAGGACATGGTGGTTTTTTTTTTAAAATATGTAAAAGTTGTGACTACTCATATGGGTGGGGAAACACCATACCTATACTAGAATCAGAGAACTGTGCTCATGTTTGGGTTTTTTCTGTGCTTTAGGAGGATCCCTGATCCCTTGTACTGAACAAAACCAAAAGTAACCTTGGTTGTCATATGTGGGTTACAGCGGTGATATACCATGGCCGTTTTGTTTTATATGCAGAGCAGTAGATTTATCCAGTCTTTATTTATCTGTGTTGAAATATTGCACCTTCCTATAGTTGCAAGCCATTATTTAGATTAAAGTCCTTTCATATATTAGTCCTCTTCTACTTCACTGGGCATACAAATGTGCTTTCTGTTAAATGTAGCCATTTGGAGAAATGGTCTTGTAATTATGGGCTGCAATGGAGCATAGTACGTAGATCCCTGAGCTAGTACCAACCTGAGGCACTCAATCCCCTGGGTTTCCTGGCACAGCTTACTAGCTCAGGCACACGGTTGTGGGAGGACACCTCTGCTATTCCTGCAGATGAGTTGTTGTGCCTGGAGCCAGCCTGGGCACCTCTCAGCCCTCGCTTACAGGGGTTTGTGAAAGGGGCGTCAGAAAATCTTTATCTGTTCTGAGTTAGTAGTTTACTCTGTTACACCCAGCCTTCCTCCCATGTGACCGACTACCAGTGCTTATTCTTCTTTGCCACTTTTGGAAGTGAAGCTTATAAAAAGCATAACCACACACAGTGCATTTGGATGGACATTTACCCTAGCAGTATGGATGGCATGTGGGACAGTTCTTTCTTTTTCAGGTGGGACCTGGTCGTTGTACCAGGAGGGGGAAGAGGCTGTAGATGATTGTGTGCTCCAGGAAATAGTTGCTGATGGTATTGTGAGATGGTTTGTCGTGAACTTGAGGCAGTTGATCAGAATGGTTGAGTCATCAGCATTTCTCAGGAAGCAAATCAATTCTCTTACTGATAGTAACCGCCCTCCCCCCCAATGCTTTAATAATACAGATGCTTGATGTTGTTTTGTTGTTGGCTTTTTTTTAATAACAGGCCTTTTTCACTGAACCCCCAGTGAATTTTCAGGAATCCTCAAATTGAAATTCTGGAATTTTGTTCTAAACTGTAGCTACAAACGGTCTAGGGGAGGCATGTGAGCATGTGTTGCGACTGAGTGATTTGTGAGCCCTGTGAATTCGTCCATCTCTACTCTGCAGAACTGGTGTGTTCGTGGTCTGCCCTGTCCTCCTGGTCCCCTGCTTACACAGACCACAGGACCTGCTGGGCACGCCATGGTTACCTCTGGGCTTGTCCTCACTTCTTTTGATGGGAAACCAAAACAGGCAAGGGTGCAGACCAGGTCTCAAACTGACATTGTCAGAATGCAGCCAAAGTATGTGCGTGAACCTAGAAAATGTGGTGTTGCCCTGTCCACTAATTTGGACATAAACACTGTAATGTGTATAGTGCTTTTCTTAGCAGATCCACTGTATAAACCTGGAGTTTGACTTCCAGAGCTGTTAGAAGTGTTGGTCAATGGACTCTTTAATTTAATCATTATTCCCACCCAAGAGGCCTGTATTCACTTGGGATCCAGGCAAAATGGGTTGTTTTGTCCCATCTAAGCCATCTGTTTGTACACACATAAGCCATTACTTGTTTTTGCAGATGTTGCAGCTTCTCTTTGATACCCCAAACTGATGTTTTAGAGGTAATTGGGGAGCTGAAGGCTGCTGGGAGAAGGGTTCTCAGGAGGTAAGGAAGGGCCGGAACGTGGTGGCACCCCATGAAAGGAGTTGCCCGTCTTGTGGTCTTTGCACATCAGCTCCAGCTCAGCGTTTTAGTCAGACTTCACAGTCTCTCAAATTAAAAGGCAGAAGTATATTTTTTTTAAAAATGCTTTGTAGAGACAGCTTGTTGTGAGACTGGCTGCATAGCAGATAAAATGAGAAATGAAATGAGATCAGGCTTGTAGAATACAACATCTCTCTGCTGTCTTAATCCAGCATTTTTACAGGGATGTCTGTTTTGCACGCAGCTTAACTGCAGCAAAAATGACGAGAATCCCTTAAGACCAATGTTCAGTGCAGTCCATTGGTAATTATTTTTTGCCAGGCTGTTGCCTACTGTGGACTTTGCTAGAATAACTCCAGCCTTTCACACCTAGGACTTCATGCGCACAGTCCCTTTAGAGATTTCTCTGTATAAAAAGTTGGCCCAAGAGAGAGTATTTCTTTCCTTCTGCCCAGTAACTGGGTCTACGACTCACCTGCAGTGAGTGCTGTCCATGTGGTGACCAAATGAAAGCGCAGCTCAGTCTCGCATGATCTTACTGGACACACACAGAAATTTGCAGGGAGGAATGGGGATAAAAGTAAGGTTGAAAACACTGAGCTGCAGAATACAGCACTGATGATGTGATCTCCATGTTCTGTGTTTTCAAAGAAACCTAAATCAAACCGTAGTTCAGAAATAGGAGAAAATGCTTGTTAAAAATGACAGCTAATTACTGTCGTCTTCTACCTCTGACCAGCTCTGCTGGAAATGCTGAAAAGAGTATTTAGGTGGATTTTCTCTAGAAAATGAAATGTAAATGGTGATTAGTTGAGTAGATTTTCAAATTACAAGGTTTTTGGTGTTTCCAAAATCAGGATTGCTGTCAGGGTTGGAGGGGTATTGAAATACAGGAATTATTTACTCCTGAGAAATGAGGAATTTCTGCATTCTAAACCCAGTTTTGGTAACTAGATTTTGTGGTCTCTAAATAACCGACTGTTTTGGCACTTGCTGAAAAAAGGCTTTTTGTTGTTTTTTCTTTTCCTGTGAAATCTGTTAATCCATGCATTTCTTTTAGATCATTAGATACCTTTGCAGAGAGATTTAGGTACTCATTTTTTCCCTTAAAGTTAATAAAGTCTCCTGGTGAGGTTGATGCCTGGAATTATCATAATAGAACAAAAATATGTCATCCCTACATAAATGTTTTATATATTCTGATATCTGTGATTTGTTTCTAATTATTTGATAATTAATAGAGAACCTCTAAATGTATTTTGTAAATAAAAATGATGTAATAATATTGACTGTTATTATAATGCTGTCTAGTGTTAAACTTCTGCAATGAAAGAGAGAAAATCACATGTTTTCAGCATTTAATACAAACTATTTGACCAGTATTGGAAAAAGTAATTTCCCAGCGAACAGTTAATCTTACTTGGACAAAGGATATCCTTGCAATGCAAAATGTGCACTTTTCTTCCAGTTAAATTGTTTAGAAAGCAGAAATTATATCTTGCTATCAAGTAGTAAATTGAAATGTCAGTGTTTTGTTTTGTCCTTGAAACTCGTCTTCGAGCTGAGTCCTTCTGACAACATATTAACGGTGCTCAGAAAGTTGAAAATCTTATTCTGTGAAAGAAGTATGTACCAAATATCGGGGGGTGTTTTAGCTGTCTTTGCTCTCAAGGTATAATTTTATACTCAAAAGAAGTAGTATCAATTTTTTTCTCATCCATTTCACACATTCCCTATGAATTTTAGCAGCAGCCCATTCTTTAGGAAAAAAAAAAACAAATACAAATGCAGTTTTCTGTTGGTGCATTGAAGTAACTGGTAACTGTAGATTAGGAATCCAAATATGTTTTACTGTCTGCAAGATGTAAATAAAGGAGTGTTTATGTTAAATTGCCACTCAAAGTTTCCCGTCTAGCCAGAGCCCTTTGTGCGCGGCTCTGGCGTGAGCCGGTGCATTGTCCTGCAGGGGTTACAGCTCACGGTGGCTGTGCTCCGACTGACGGCACCAAACGGGATACATGGCCTCCACCAACGTTATGTATCAGAGTGCTTTTTTCCTTCTTCTTCCCCCC